GGGAACTTTCTATACAGTTTTGGAAATCTACTCTTAACTTGCAGGCTGAAGTTTATAAGTGCTTTTCTCTTCTTTACTCTGTGTAACATTCGATGTTAAGCTTTTGCTCTGTCTTACTGTCATTTGAGAAGGGGTGGGTGGGGAAAGATCATAATAATAAATGTACTAGAGAGATCAAAATGGAGCTGCAGTGGCTCAAGTGGTTAAGACGCTGAACTGCAGGCTGTGGAAGGTCAGTAGTTCAGCAGTTCAAGACCCGAGTGTGCCGCATGACGGAGTGAGCTCCCGTCTCTAGTTCCAGCTCCTGCCAACCTAGCAGTTCGAAAGCAAGAAATTGCAAGTAGATAAATAGGTACCATTTCGGTGGGAAGGTAACAGCGTTTCGTGCGCCTTGGTGTTTAGTCATGCCGGCGACATGACCACAGAAACGTCTTTGGACAGCACTGGCTCTTCGGCTTGGAAATGGAGATGAGCACCGCAACCCTAGAGTCAGATTCGACTGGCTTTCGAGCAAGAGAAACCTTTACCTAGAGAGATCGAGCTACAGATGACCGAACAAGTCTGGGGGCAACATTCTTAGCCTAGGGGGACGATTAACTCTATCTCCAGGACTCAGGAATCTCTGTACTACGGCTCGACAGCCCAAGCCGGCTGGAAAATGCAGCCAAATTGTCACCCCGACGGGCTCCTCGCCTCAGCCGCTGCCACTAGCGTCACGTCTCTCCTCGGGGTCGGCATCCCCCCCCAACGCGCCACTTCTCCCCCCAAGTGAGCGCAGGGCGTCCCTGCCTCCGGGGGACGACGACGACCCCCTCCCACCACCCCGGCGAGTGTACCCGTCGCTGGCTCCGGCGGTGTGGCCAGGGGCGCTGGGCAGCAGGACGCAGGGGAGATTCCTGCCCCCTTTCCCGGAGAGACACGACCTCTCCGTCGCGGTTCCCCTCGAGGCTGCGCAACGCGACCCCCCGCCTTCAGGCTCCGAGAGTCCGCCCTGGCAGGTGCCCTGCAGTGGCAGCCGCCTCCTCCCACCTCCTCCCACCCCGAACTGTGCCCGCGGACCACTCCCGGACCCTGGAGCACGACGCCCTCGACGGCGCCTTGCTCCCGTCCCCGGGTGCCCCAACCCGCCCGCGACGCGGCCGCCGCGCTCCCTTACCCGACGAGACCAGCCGCGCCTCCGCCGCGAAACACCCAAGGAAGAGCAGCCCGGCCACCAGCTCCATCGCGCTCCTCGCGCCCAGGCGGAGACGGGGCCCCGGGCAGCGGCCAAGCATCGGCTGACGGGCGCCCGCTCGACGGAACGGCTCCGCAGGAAGCGCCCCGAGCGGCCGGACGGAGAGCAGCTGCCGACTCCCTCCCAGGCTCGCTCAATGCAGACCAATCCCCGGCCGCAGCGCCTCTTCTTTGGCCGGGAGGAGGAGCTTGGACTGCTCGCCCCGCCCCGAGAAGGCCTCTCGTCTTGGAGGGGGCCCGAGACTCCTCCGCCGCCCGCTGCCTAAAGGCCCTGGCTGGGCTCTTGCCTGCCTTGGTCGTGGGCGCATGCTCGGTAGGGGAAAGGTGACGGACACAGGCCTCTCCTAGCCTTCACCCACGTGCCTCTTGAAGCCTTAACGTGGGGAAGATACAGCCGAAGAAACATCGTCTTGATGACTTGTGCCCTTCTGCACACCCTCTTCTCAGGGGTTCCAGCTAGAAGATATGCTGGATCCCTGGGGCAGATAAGAGACGTTCATGGAAGAGGATTCTCGACACCAGCCATCTTGAAACCCTACTGCCAATATGCTTAGGATAGAATAGGACCTTCAGCTCTGCAGCACTGCAGCAGATCCAGACTGGTGGAAAGCTCTGCCAAGTCACAGCTGGCTTATGGCAACCCCACAGGGTTCTCAAGGGGAAAGAAGGGATTTGCCATTGCCTGTCTTTGCATAGCGACCCTGGTATTCCTTGGTGGTCTCCCATCCCACTACTAACCAGGCCTACCCTGCTTATATTCTGAGATCTGACGGAGCTAGCCCGGGCCATACAGGCCAGGGCAGAGCCAGGCTACCGTTAGAAATGTCCCAAAGACCAATTCAGGTGACCGAAAGTGTGATTTAGTGGCTCGAGCACCAGAGAAGGACAGGTGGAGACGTGGCTTTGAACCCCTGCTTGCCATGAGAGCTGCTGGATGACCTTGGGCCAGCTGTCCTCTCTCTTAGCCTGATCTACTCACAGGGTGGCTATGAGGCTAAAATGGAGGCGGGGAGAGCCAAGTGGGTTGTTCTGAGGTCCTTGGAGGAGGGCGAGATCAAAATGCACTAAACAGAAATAAGTGTATGAAGAGGGAATGAGCCTTCTGCAGCTCCGCATCCCACCCCAATAGACAGCTGGGCATCCTCTGTGCTGCAGTGCCAACCTCTGTTATGAAGTGTTACCTGCTGTAGCTTGATCTGTTTTCGGTGCATTATGGTGAGCACCTTTAATGAGAAAGATACGTTCAAGGTTTTCGAAACGGAAGATGCCCTGAATGCTAGAAATGCCCCCGTTTCCAGAATTCTCAATCTTGGCCTATATATGTAAAACAAAGGTACCTTATGTGGACAACATGAACCATTTGAGGGGATATTGCATTTCCCACTTTTAGCATAGGTCCTGTTTTCAGATTTTCCCCTTAGGATACCATGGACCAAATGTGTACTCAATTATCTAGCTAATGTAAAAGTGCCTTGACTTAGGGGCACATTTCATATTAAACACACACACACACACACCCATTTTGAAAGGTATGTGTAAACTGGTCTGATTTACAGACTTTTCTAGCAGTTGGAATCATTGGTTTTGTGTGCCAGGTGGCGTGGAAGTAGAGGCACCCAATTGGCATTCTGATATTCCTGAGAGTAGGTTTGCCAACCTCCAGCTGGATATTAGAAGAGAAGAAGAAGAGGAGATTGGATTTATACCCCGCTCTTCACTTGGAGTCTCAGAGCGGCTTACAAACTCCTTTCCCTTCCCCTCCCCACAACAGACACCCTATGAGGTGGGTGGGGCTGAGAGAACTCTGACACAAAACTGCTCTTTTTCAAGGACAGCTGTGCCAGAGCTTGTGACTGCACCAAGGTCACATCAGCCGGTCCTCCCAGATTAGAGTCCGGACACTTAACCACTACACCAAACAGGCTTGAATATTAAAAGGCAATATTCAAATACTAAAGCACCGCGTACAATAAATTGTATATTAAGACTGAAATAGACATGTAAATTATATAAGCAGTAGTCTTGCAAGCTTCGTGTTGTGAACCTGACATTTGTTTACAACTCTTTGAAATATTATTATCTTAAAATATTGTGTCTGTGTTTAGTTTTGTTTATGTAATTTAAGCCTGTGAATGTATTGTATCTTTACAACAACTGACACAATGCAAAGGTTGCTTATATAATTTACATCCTTATTTCAATCTTAATATACAATTTATTATACACGGTGCTTTAGTATTTGAATATAATCTTCAGGTGGGGCCTGGGGATCTCCCAATTGCAACTCCAGACGACAGAGATCACTTACCCTGGAGAAAATGGCTGTTTTGGAGGGTGGACTGTATAGCATTATACCCTGCAGAGGTCCTTCTTCAAGCGCTGACCTCCTCAGGCTCCACCCCCTAAATCTCCAGGAATTTCCTGGAGTTGGCAACCCTACCTGTAAGTCAGTCTTTTAAAAAGTGCATAAATTATGACAACACTTTCCTCTAATCTGGCACAAATTGTGTGTAATAAACATTCAATGAATGCCTTCAGTGTCAGAAGGTTGCAGAGGGGGCAACCAGGTTAGTCGGTCACAGCAAAATCAAAGTCCAGTGGCGCCTCAGGGACTACCAACATTTATTTCACTATGAAATAAGCTCATAGTGAAATCGATGTTATGCACCTTCAAGGTGCCACAGCTCTGGACTCCAGACTTCCTGTTTCATAGGAATTGTTGTACAATGACTGGTTTATGAGGTTTATTCCCAAAACACGCAGTTTGAGTTCAGTGGGGTGACCAAGAGGGAGCTGCACATCTCCCATTCACTCACCTGCAAAGTCCCTATCTCTTGTTTGCATATCTACTTACAATGGTGGCCCAAAAGCTCATTAAACCCAACCTTGCCGGAGCTGCTAAAAGCTTCAAGGCTGTGCAAGGATTGAGAATGGGGCTGACAGCTCCCAGGCGTCCCCGATGCCCTCTTCCCCACCCCTGAGTCAGTCACGATTTCTCTCTCTCCAGACCTGCCCTCAGCACCTCACTGACAGACGAGGCCTGGCTGAAGCAGTCTGGTCAGGATAGCCAGTCGAGCCGAGCAGCAGGAGCAAACGACAAGGTTCCTTTTGTTTGCTTAATGGCTGGAACTCACCACTTGAGAACGGGATGGGAGATAGTGGCACAGATGTTGGCACCTTAGCATCAACTCCCCCCCCCCCCCGGGCTTTTTGGGAAACCCAAAAACTTTCCAC